AGCACAGACAGGGAGCACTCAGGTCGCCGTGCGCCCGCCCAGCACCCAGCAAACACACGGACACAGCCAGCCCCGGGGCTGCCACAAACCCTGAAGGGCCTGCCTCTGTGATGAGCCAGGACTGCAAGATGCCGTTCCCTGGAGTCGCCATAGAAACAGGATGTTGTCAAAGGGCTGAGAAACTTAGGCCTCAGCAGAAAACAGAGAAAAGCACTTGAAGGTTTTTTGTTTACCCAGAAAAAAAAAAAAAAACACCCACCACAAAATCAATTATTTATTCTCTGTACCGGAAGCGTTTGGTTTCACCGCAAACCCTTCACTCTCCGCGCCGGGCTGTCTGCGTTGGGGGCCTGGTCTGAACCCTCGGTCTCTGCGAGGTGACATGACCACACGGCTGCGTCTAACCCCCTGGAAACCACCCCGTTTTAGCAGGCATTTAAGTTCTCAGGTACCTAGAGCCGTGCATGAGTGGAGGGCAGCTCCATCTCACAGACAGACGCCTTCCCCCGTGCCGAGGTCGCCCCGGAGCCGAGGAGGGGCCTGGGGGCCGGGACTCCGCCTCGCAGGAGCTCTCGCAGGCATTAGCCACCAAGACTCATGAGTCACTTTCTAAATCGGGAAGCATTCCATTGTGGCGGCACCTCAGGCCCTTCCTCCATTAACACCCATTCACAGCGCTCCTTTCTAACTTCTGGAACGCAATGTCATTGCCACGTCGCGCCGTGGTGCCTGCCCGTGAAATTAACGCTCCTAAATTCCCTTTAATAATCTACTTTACGGACGTGTGCCCAAGCAAAAGACGAACAAAGATCACATAAATTGCCCAACGCAGCCAGCCATGACATTCGGAGCCCCGACGATTCGTGATATCGGCTCGTTTAATTACCAGGGAAAGGGGGAAAGCCATTTCTAGGCGCGGGCTTAACACATTCATAGAACGTGAATAAATGTGCACTTGACGGAATGAGTGATCTCAACTCAAAATGCTCAGAGTATACATTTGGGTAAGGAAGTCACTACAAACTTAAACTTCATAAAAGAGCTAAAATGACTGCAAATGTGCCCTGGCCGGTTTGGCTCAGTGGATAGAGCGTCAGCCTGCGGACTGAAGGGTCCCGGGTTCCATTCCGGTCAAGGGCACGTGCCTGGGTTGCGGGCTCCATCCCCAGTAAGGGGCGTGCAGGAGGCAGCCAATCTACGATTCTCTCTCATCAATGTGTCTCCTTCCTCTTTCCCACTCTCTCCCTCTCTGAAATCAATAAAAATATATTTATAAAAAGTCTCCCGGCCGAAGCCCCGGGGACAGAGCGGGAAGCCGGGACCACGCTCCGCCACAAGCTGACGGCCCTCGCCTACCACAACCCCGCCGGCTTCAGCGGCAAAGATGAGACAGAATTCAGAAACTTTCTTGTTTGGCTTGGAGACCAGAAGATCCGACACTACAAGATTGAAGGCAGAGGTAACTTAGGAAACATCACAGCAGTGACTCGCCCCGGTCCTCTGCACAGTATCTCCCAGACGTTAGCTGTCCTTTCAAGATTCAAGCTCGACAAGAAGCAGTCGACTGGCCTCCTGGTTTCGCCGTTCGGCTTGAATATGGAGACAACGCTGAGAAGGACTCGGTATCTCATGATACAAAACATGCTGACGGTGCAGCTAAAGCTGCAGAGCCATTGACCAATCTGGATGTTAATAGTCCCGCTTTTAAGGCTGGTGCAATGGCTCTGGCCAGCCCGCTTCAGATCCAGCGTCACGGTGGTGGCCTGCAATGCTTAGTGAAGGCAATACGCAGCTTGGTCCAGGACCGCCTGACCCGGGACGCAGTTGCTGAAGCCAAGCAAGCGAAAGCGGGATCGCCTGTTGCTTTAGACGAGCACGTTCGTGGTTTGGACGCGGGAGATGCAGTTCGTAACGAAGCTGCTCACATCCCGCGCGATGGCGGCATAGGGAAGAGCTCGGAGAGCTGGTGGAGCCACAGCAGCTGCTCAGGCAGTCGCTATGGCCCCCGGGACAGGCCACAGACAGGAGAGGTGGGAGGGGAGCCTTTTAGGGTTTCCGCCTCTCGCCCATGGAGCATGTGTTTCAAAATCAAACATCACATTTTCAAGGGAAGATCACAGAAAATTGGCTATGTTTTAGAGATTTATCGTCTTTGCTTTTTCTTTAATAAAGTTTGGGAAAGCGGGGAAAAAATAATACACACACACACACACACACACATATATACACACATACATACACACACACTAGAGGCCTGGTGCACAAAATTCGTGCATGGGGGGGGGTGCCTCAGCCCGGCCTGCACCCTCTCACAATCCGGGACCTCTTGGGGGACATCCCTCTCGCAATCTGGGACTGCTGGCTCCTAACTGCTCGCCTGCCTGCCTGCCTGCCTGATCGCCCCTAACCACTCGCCTGCCTGCCTGGTCACCCCTAACCACTCGCCTGCCTGCCTGCCTGATGGCCCCTAACCGCCTCTGCCTTGGCCCCTGCCACTGTGGCTTCGTCCAGAAGGATGTCCAGAATGATGTCCGGAAGGTTGTTCAGCTTTCCAGTCTAATTAGCATATTACGCTTTTATTATTATAAAAGATACATTAAAACAATAAAATAAAATGACTGCCAATTCCCCATAATGTCCGGTATTTCAGAAAGTCAAGCAAAGAAGGGTCAGAAAGAAAGAGAGATGCCAGCTGTCCCAGCAACGAGGGTGTGTCCCCAGCGAGGAGCGAGGAGGCGTGTCCCCCGTGGGCCTGCACCCCAGGGTCAGGAGAGGCGTGGAGGGGAGGGGACAGCTCCATGCTGGAGAACGGGTGCTCACGTCACCCAGTGTCCCGCATGTAAGGCCCTCTGTGGGAAATTCCTCTCAAAATTTAGCACACTCCCCTCAAAAAGTGACTATTCAGATCAGGGGTTCTCAACCTTCCTCATGCCGCGACCCTTTAATACAGTTCCTCATGTTGTGGTGACCCCCAATTTCATTGTTACAAATTGAACATAATTAAAGCATAGTGATTAATCACAAAAACAGTATGTAATTATATATGTGTTTTCCGATGGTCTTAGGCGACCCCTGTGAAAGGGTCGTTCAACCCCCAAAGGGGTCGCGACCCACAGGTTGAGAACCGCTGATTTAGAGGAAGAAATAATTTTACATGTAGCTACATTTCTTGTTGCCTTGACGAATGGTAAACCTGCGGTTAAATCTCACATAGAAGTGATTTGCTCTGGTTGATACCTATTTTCTTTCTTTTATTGAAACTATTTTTGTTGATTTTTAGAGAGAGAGGAAGGGAGAGGGAGAGAGAGACAGAAACATCAAGGATGAGAGAGAATCATGGATCGGCTGCCTCCTGCACGCTGCCTACCAGGGATTGAGCCCACACCCCGGGCATGTGCCCTGACCCGGAATAGGACCTGTGACTTTTCAATGCACGAGGGACAACACCCAACCCAGCCACCCTGGCCAGGGCCATGCTTTCTTCCCTTTATGAACTTGGACACATATTTTACCATTCCAATATAATTCCGTATAAGCCCATAACAGACCCTTTTAAAAAGAAGTTTTATCAAACTCTTTTTGTAAATAAAGAAGACTAGGAGATTATAACTAAACTCTACCCTATCCTCATTTTTAAATGGACCAGGAATAGCGTGTCTTTTTTTTCTTTCTTTTTTTTTGTTAATCCTCGCCTGAGGATATTTTTCAATTGCTTTTTAGAGCAAGTGGAATAGAGAGGGAGAGACAGAGAGAGAAAGAAACATCGATGTGAGGGAGACGCATCAATTGGTTGCCTCCTGCCCGCGCCCCCACCAGGGCCGGGGATCGAACCTGCAACCGAGGGACGTGCCCTTGACTGGAATCGCACTCGGGGCCTTTCAGCCGAGGGCCGACGCTCTAGCCACCGAGCAACACGGGCCAGGCTCCCCTACCTCCTGCTAAAAGGCTCCGGGAAGAGCGTGTCTTGAATTCTACTTTTCCCAAATCAAATGAGTCTCCGCTGATTAGCTCCACACGGAGGCATTATGTTCCCACCAGGTTTGCTAATCCAGGTAAAACCTTGCAATCAGGAACGGGGACATGTGCCTTCCCCTGCAGGGCCAACACCCCTGGCGCCCTGCCCGCCCGCAGCCGTCCTCGCTTTCTCCCGGAGACAGCGGCCAGGAGACAGATGGGCCCAGCGTGCAGCCGC